TTTTTCTAAAAAGTAATTTCTTCTCTCAAAACAATTATTTTTTTCTTCTGCAAAAGCACACTTTTTCTTGGTAAAAGAAAAAAAAAAGGGCATTGATCCACTTGAAAACACTGAGGACACCTCAGTAGCAGTGAGACAGACTTCATGGGTGTCATCACTGCTACTGCTATTAGCAGAAATGGAACCTAATAGGAGCCTGGAGCACAGGACTCCCTTGCCTTGAAGCTGCTGCATACCTTAGCTGAAAGTTAAACCTCAAAGATGAGGTGAGAGGAAGTATAAGCTGCAGATGTATTAGCTCTGCTCCCTGGCGCACCTGAGCAGTACATTTACCGCCTTTCTTAGCAAAATCTTAGTATCAGATTAAAGGGAAGCTACAACTGTGACTGATAGAGAAAACAGAAAACAAGAATGATGCACACTGGGCTGCCCTGGTAGCTCAGATGGTTAAGAGTGCAGCCTTATAACACCAAGGTCACAGGTTCAGATCCCCATTACCAGCCAGGAGCCAAAAAAAGAAATACTCATGTCAAATTTCCTGATGGAAGTCTAAGCAGATGAGGAGGAGGACAAGAATTATACTTAAGAACATATTTTAAAAAGTCAGATAAACTCTGTCTTATGAATTAATCTTGAGAACATAAACTGACATAAAATTGTGTACATCCACTGAATGAAAGCCAGCTGGGATCAAAAGAAGCAAGGTCTGAGAATTTGTGTAATGTTACTGACTGTGACCCACAGAAGTGCTGTGCATGAATGGATAAGTGCGTTTCCACCTCTTCCACTGGCCCTGAATCACAGAAGGATGCTCAACTTGGGAGTACACATGGATCACAGATTAGAACCAAAGGAACTCAAGAGTCATCTAGTTGTGGCTAGCTGTTTAGTTCAGTTAGAGCACAGCCTTATAACACCAAGGTCAAGGGTTCAGATCCCCATACCGGCCAGCAGCCATCCAAACAAAAAAATGTCATCTGGTTATGAAGCCTACTTCTTTGTTGACTTCTTTTTTTTTTTT